CCACTCCTATTAACTTTTATTCGTTTTTGTATTGGTCATGCAAGGATTCTGTATATTTATTTTACAATTTTAAGCGTACTCACTATTATACTGATCCAACATCTATGTTGATACCAAAAAGTACTGCCACTCCTCAAGCGTAATATTAACAGTTAAGACCTTTACTGGGTATAACGAGGGTGTGAGGCGCAAAATTTAGAGTTTTGTACAATTTATTCATATAACAGAAGTAATTTATTTAACAATCATTAATATCTTCACTTTTGTTATTGTATACGCATGTGTTTTGATGTGAGTGTTTATTGAAATAGGTATTTTGTGGGTAATTGTGGTGTGGAGCCGATATTAGTGGGTATATTTCTGAGTTTAAGGTGTATGAAGGCAAATCACAAGACGCTCCTACTTATAAAGATATATTTGGATTGGGAAAGTTCTGTGGACGGACTCACCCAAATTCTGATTGGAGGTGGTTATGTTGTAATACTGGATAACTATTTCACCTCTGTTGAACTAATTGAGCGTCTGAGAGTGAACAACATTTTTGCATGCGGAACTGTCCGTCCTAAAATAAACATCCTCCTAAACTTCAAGAGGACAAGGAGATGAAGAAAGGTGATTTTGCTTATCGTTCTACAAATCAAGGAATTGTGTTCTTCTGATGGAATTACAACAAGGGTGTTCATCTATCGTGAGTCAATTACTGTAATGCATAAGGAGCGGTCTGGAACGAGGCCGATATTGTGCCATCTAAGATAGTACAATATTACAATTCAGCAATGGATGGAGTGGACGAATATGATAAGAAACCAAATAATGGTGTCACAGACTTCTTTGCAATGGTGGGAATGATATGTCAATGCACATGTGATGTATAAGGACCTGGTCATGACATCTCACTACCGGAGTTTCGGAGAAACTTGGCTATGCGGCTTGTCGCTATGGGAAGCAGACCAGTGGAAGTAAGAGATCGTCCTTCATTCAATACAATGTCATCACCAAACGAACCAAAGAAACGAGGGAAAAACAAGTATTATGTGCCTAAATGCATCAGGACACAAAACTTTGTTTGTGGTAGAAAGGGGAAGATATGAAATGTGTTCCATCCAAAGAATCCCATGTGGACAACATTCCAAAAGTCCTTTTTGTAATGGTTTGTGCTGCAACGACAAAAAGAACTGCATTCAATAATATCATTCTCAGTAATCTACCTTCATGGTGACAATTGTCAGTACTTAGAAGTACCACCATAAAAATAAACATACAATACAAAATAATTTGCCACCTTCAAAAGTCATCTGCCCGTGGATGACGGACTGACAATTCAATAAGCAGCATTATACACTGCCTATTACCGCACTGAAGATGTCACCTCGCATGGTGGTGAAACGTATGTGATCTCTTTAACAAGCTCGGAAAAACGATCAACAGGTGAGCAACCAAGCCGGGCCACCAGTGTTCCAACTTATTTCGAATATTTGCGGGCGCTCAGCGCTACGCTCCGCTCACCGTTGGGAGGATTTTGCTTGCCGGCAAGCCCCTACAAGGCAGCGGCTAGCCTTTCGCCATGATTGCTTGCGAAGGGACGTTCTTCCTCGCAATGTCAACTACAGACCGCCGCTGAACCACCCCAGGGCATGGGATGTTGCGCGTCAGTTCGGAAGACGCATAGTGCGAATAATGATCGCGGACGCCTATAATCGTATCAAGAAATATGAAAGAGGTCTGGATGCAGAGCGAGCCGCTTGTTTGCAAACCTTGGGGCAACAACTGATAGAACAATTATAGTTGGCAATCGAACGCAGAGCAAACAACGCCGAAATGAAGAAGCAGGCCGCGTTTCATTAAAAGATGTCAAAATTGACCATCTGCCAATACGGAGATGACAACGATCGCTGGATCAGGAACATTTCTAAACCGCTCACCTTTCTAGACCGCTCAGTGAAACAGAGCAACAGATACTCACCAAAGGATTGAACTACAATATCAAAGACGCGGCAACCACGGAGATTTTAGCGGAATTCGAAATCGCTCTACGTTCAAATGGACTTGGAGAAGAGATACAGGAGCAAATCCGACACACAATCGTCCCTGCCATGACACACGTCAAGCAATACAATGTCCTATCTCGACAATAGCTCAAAGCAATGAAAGCCCTGAGATCCGACGAGTTAATTGTTATCCTTCCTGCAGACAAAGGACGTATGACAGTCATAATGGATAAGGCAGACTATATTGAGAAAGCAGAACGACTTCTGAACGATACAAGCACATACAGGCGCATTAATTACGATCCGACATTGCAGCTAACAAACCAAATAAACAAAACATTGTATGAACTACAACAGTTGAAAGTAATTACAGATATTGAAAGGATAAAATGAGAGCCCGTGACTCGAACATCGCCCAATTCTGCTAGCTCCCAAAAGTACACAAAGAGAGTGATCCGTTGCGGCCAATTGTTTCACTTCCAGGTACACCCACCTACAACCTGGAGAAGGAATTGTGGGGGCGCCTCAAACATCTACTCAACGGTTCGCAACACTCCGTAAACAACGCCAATCACTTTCTAGAAAAGCTGAAGAACCTGCATATAGATCATGACGAAACGATGGTCTCCTTCGACGTCACCGCATTATTTACATCTGTCAATTTGCAACTGGCAAAAGAAGCCATCATAGAACGCCTGAACAACAGAGATGAGAAAATTGGGAATATGACGACTGCAAGCATTTGCAAGCTTCTCCAAGTATGCCTCACAACTTACTTCTCGTTCAACGGAGAGATCTACGAGCAAGTGAAGGGGGCACCGATGGTATCACCAGTATCAGGTCTGATCGCTGAGATCGTCATGCAAAAGTTGGAAGTTCTACTACCAGCTATTAACCGGAAGTTGTGGGTACGCTATGTCGACGATACATTTGTAATACTGAAACGTAGTGAAGTAGCAATTGCACACCGACTGCTCAACAATGCAATGGATGGGATTAAGTTTACAATGGAATTAAAGGCAGAAAACATGCTCCCACTCTTGGATGTGTTGGTGACCAGAACAAACGATGGTGAATTTCAAACATCCGTTCACAGGAAAGGGACACATACTGATCAGATTTTTAACTTCTATAGCCAGCACCCAAAGTGCCACAAAATAAGTTGCGTGCGGACACTATTTCGCAGGATTGAAACACACTGCAGTACAGTGGAAACCAAACGGGAAGAAGAGAAACACTATTTCGATTCGTTCGAGCGCAATGGATACCCACGCAACTTCATCCATGTCTAAACCATAAACTTATGAAAACCGAGCCGATAACAAATGCAAGCAAGAAGGTCGTTTTGCCGTATATGAAGGGCATATATGAAATGACTGCCAGATTGCTCAAACAATACAACATCGTGGTCGCTCATAAGCCAACCTCTACTTTGAGAAGAATACTATCAAACCCAAAAGACATTAGGAATGCACAAGAATGAACGAACGTCGTGTATAAAATAAATCGCAATAATTGTGAAGTGAACTATGTAGGGCAGACAGGAAGGAAATTGTCCACAAGAATACAAGAACACCAGAGGGCTTTTAAAAAGCATTATGCATATTCTCTTGTCTCAGCGCATGTGGATGAGGAGGGACATAGCTTCAATTGGAAAAAACGGTGAGTTTAGCTCGAACAACAACACAGAAAGGAAGAGAGTACCTAGAAGCATGGTACTCCTCTAATAATTCGATCAACATGCGCATCGACATTGACCTCGTGTACCATCAACTCAGAAAGAACGATCTCCGGCGAAGCGCAAGACGTGGTTCAGCCGTGGAAGCAAATGGGCAGAGATCACGTGGCGCAAATCGAAATCGCCACCTTCAAAAGTCACCTGCCCGTGGATGGCGGACTGACAATTCAATAAGCAGCATTATACACTGCCTATTACCGCACTGAAGATGCCACCTCGCATGGTGGTGAAACGTATGCGATCTCTTAACCAAGCTCGGAAAAACGATCAACAGGTGATGCGATACAAAAATTTACTTGCTTTTTATGTTTATTACTTACCAATAACTACCTTGATACGAAAAATAACTGCAAATATATAGGTAAATTAATTCAGGATTCAAAGGCTTACATTGACCTTACGTATTTATCGTGCTGATTTACTACTACAATGTTTCTTTGCTCTTCTAATTCCAATATGAATTCTTCGAATACACTTCTCAAAGTACTTATGTTTCGCTACTTCCAGTTTGTCGAATTTCGAATGCGCCTCGCTTTCGGTAATGCGCTACCGCACGCACGTCCATTTTCGCGCTTAATGATTGTGCGGTGATTGAGAAGCAATTCGGAACTGTGTTGCGGGGTTTCCTAAATCCATAAATTCTCATTCTACTATCCCTTTGTGAGTAATTCATAATAAACAATAATTTTAACTAAGTCATGCGCGCTTTTTCTGCTGATAGTCGGCTTTCTTCAATTTACGTCTCACGTTTCATTTTGAGATCATTTTGTAATTTGACGCTCTTTCACTTCTTTTCTTTCCACGCTGCACCAAATGGCGTCACGCATTCCACACTGCTTGTACCACATCGGTGCAGTTGCTTGTTGCGAGTCATATTAGCCATTTGCGTATCTGTTATCTTTTATTCAGTTGCGATTGTAGAATCTAAATTTAGTCGTTACACTTTAATCTAGACATTTCCCCTTATTTTTTCTGGATGGACCACACACTCGATTGATTGCCTCTGCTTGAATCTTGTGTTTACTTACTGGAGTGGTTATCATCGTTAGTATGCTTTACTTTCGAGTCACCAAGTAGACGTTACAGCTGATGCTTGCATTAGAAAATCTTTCCTCGATGGCATCATAGTGCAAGTGCATGTTGCGCAATCTAATACCCGTAGACAGTTGAGCATTGTGGTGCACATCTTCTTTTCGTATCCTTCGCAACTGGTACATACCTTGTACTGCCAACCTATTTCTCTGCACATCTACTTTGGTCCATTCCATCCTCAGGTGGCTTTATTCGAACCAGGCACCCGTCACTCATACACCGCTGCATCTGGCCGTGACATTGCTAACCCAACAGCCATTCTATTGGCTACCTGTCGCCTCCTACGCCATATCAACTTAACTGAGTATGGGAATCGCTTGGAATCCGCGGTACACCAAGTACTTCGATCTGGCCAAGCCTTGACTGCAGATATCGGCGGTCAGGCGACCACCACTCAGTTCACCGAGTCTCTTCTCAGCCACCTGCAGAAGGACTCCAGGCGAGCATAATTGATGACGAGGAATTTTTGTTTCAACGGTTTCACCACTATATTTATAACATCAAATGCATAGTGGACTTATTTCTAGCTCTATACCTTGGTATTTACAGCTTCATTCGCTGAGTAATAAATGACACCTACTTTAATTAGCCCGGATACTCTTCTAGTTTCCCTTTTTTATACATATGCTACGATGTCAACCTACACACCGTTGTCTCTAGCATTTATAATGTTTTTCCACCCCAATTTTCGCTTTCATCACATCTGTCTTTGAACCGGATACTTGCGTACACATTTTTATCATTGATCTCTTTGCCGAACTTGTTTTCAATTTTCCATATACTCTACCTTGTCATCCTTCTCACATCCGTGCAATAGTTGAGTTTTCTGTCCGCTGGATTACATGGCTAACGGTAACAAAGGCAGATCTGCGGCTAATTCGTTTTGACATTCAGAGCATATCAGCGATTCAGTATACGTTGCAAGGTCCACCCAATCAGTCTGGCTTTGTATGACGATCCACTGTTGAGGGTATCACTTCATCTATTTTTCCTTTAATTCACTCCTTCTCATAGGCTGAATATTTTCAGATTTAAGCGATTTACCCGGGTGCTATCACTTGGTAGTCATAACATGACTTGGCACATGACGTTGCGTACTTCTTCAAGATAGGCGAGCTATTTTTCTAACCTTGCAGTTATCCATCTGCACTGATGTTCACGCGACATTCTATCTGAGAACAGCCGCGTTCTACAGTGTAATCACAAACCACTAGTTCTAGAATGTTCCTCATACATTTTTATCACTAAGCACACACATCTTTTCTTGGAATACCGTTTTAGCTGTTGCATTTTAGATATTTTCTTTCCGCGACCCTTTGTATGATTTCTGCCGCTGCCAATCTACTTCTAATTATGTAACTTTAAAGCGAATTCTCACTTATCGATGCATTTGCCGGTTGGTCAGAGTGTGTCATGCTTGGAAGCTAGCTTCCACAGGCTGTTGCAAAGAATTAATGGGGCATCAGCTTGTACTCACTTTGTGGTGCGTATTGGACTCGTTGGTTTTTTCACTGCGCTGACTAACTCGACCGGACGTCGTGGATGACGTTCACAATCCATTGCTTCGATTCATGGTAGTCCATCTACCTCTAGACCGTTCAGTGACATCCCGAAGTATATAAGCTAATACCAAGCGTATTGAACTACATTTAGAACACCCGGGTGTTATAAACTTTTTGATTTACCAATGTTCTGCTCACTTGTTGAAGTCCGTTGGCACTCATCCAAAACACGCAGTTAGCCGGCTAATTCATTTACTGACGCTTTGCCTTTTAACTTCCTCTCCTCCTGTTGGTCTCTCACGACCATCATTTTCACTACTCTTTAACGTCTTGCTGTGGACATGATGAGAAGAGAATAGGTCCAAACAAGATAGATAGCCGACTATCGTCGCCCTTTGAACTGTACGTCACAGTCACCGACAAAAGATGTGCGCATTTACTGAAGAATGCCAATTTACACGTAGCGAACTTCAGACCTTCGACCGAACAAAGTCTTGCTGCATTAGGATATCCACATGTGTAACTAAATCAAACATCAATGGTATCATTTCTACTAAACGGTATGTGACGAGTCCAGTAGATGACCGTAATTTATCGCGACGGTGTCTGTTCCATCACTGACCACACAACGAGACAAAAGTGTTAACTATACCATTTCCGAGTCAAATTAGTTAATAGAGGAAACAAATTGCTTCGTAAGCATTTTCAACCTGGAGCAGATGGAAATTGGGTGTTGCCCATCCCAAAAACACTGCACAACCACGACGCGTTTCGATGTAATTTCATCTCATCAGGTGGAGATAGCAGGCCTCGATCCCGCGACCATTGGAACAGTAGCCGAAACCTCTACCCCTTTGGCTACCGGGTCACGGTGGGCAACGCTTTTTGGCACAACGGTAAATGACTAATTGGAGGATCAAGTTTGGACTACACGTTGTGTGATTGGAGTGCCACGCGCAGTCTCAATGTAATTCACATTGAAGTGAACCTTAGTCACTGCGATCACGGGTACCGTACTAAAAGCGGATGGAAACTGGGTTTTGCCCACCCGAAAACACTACGACCACCACAATTAGTCATTTACCGCTGTGCCAAGCGTTACCCACTATAACCCGGTAGCCAAAGGGGTAGAAGCTTCGGCTACTAGTCCAGTGGTCGCGGGATCGAGGCCTGCTGTCTCCACCTGACGAGAGGAAATTACATCGAAACGCGTCGTGGTTGTGCTGTGTTTTCGGGTGGGCAACACCCAATTTCCATCTGCTTTGACTACGGTCCCAGTGACCGCAGTGGCTATAGTTAACTTCAATGTGAATCACAGTCCATTACATTGAGATTGCGCGTCACAATCCAATCACACAACGTGTAGCCCAAACCTGACCTTACATTTCCAACTTGATTCATAAACATTTTCAAGTTGATGCGTTCCAAAGTTTGGCTTAGGTGCGCACACGCACGGCCGAGTAGCTTCCTCATTGGTCAGACGCCGTCGGCCAACAGGATGCCGTGTGTCACTATAGAGCAGGTGTTCTCACACATTTCGGCACGTGCACCCCTTTGTAGTGTAACCTAGCATGACGGACCCCTGAGCTTTTCTTTTCCACAGAACTAGGCTTTAATAACATAAGAATGAGGTGGAGTTCATCTCTGTACACTGAATTTGCACAGCGGTTCAGTTATATTGGCAAAAGTGAAGGCTGTTGAACTTACATGGAAATGCAACTATATTAAGGCTTAATACATTGGTTAAAATTCGTTCCGACATGCAGCGCTGACTTATTTGATGCTAGGTGTTATTGAGGAAAGCTGTAACCTCGTATCTCGTTACGCCTCAGGTCTGTTTCGGTACTTTGTTTTGTATAGATATAATGCGAGAATGCAATCCCACACATCTAAGTTATGGCAAATGGGAGAAACACGGCGATAGCTGCCTACCATGACAAGGTACACATCGTTCGCTTTGCATCAGAAATCACACAGAGACAGTCTGTGAAAAGCTTTTTGCAAGGAAGAGTCTCAGGTCACCTTCATGCATTTTGTATGCATGGCCGGCTACGTTTCTCGGTTCTACTGTCAGCGCATTACGATAAACTAACTAAGTAAGATGCTTCTGTAGCTTTTTTTAGTCTGCGACGCGTGAAGCATGTACGTTTGGGTGTTCAATATTTCATCTCGCATGCCCTGTAAGTACTTTTTTCTGTCCTTACAGTCCGTATGAATTTTTCAAAATGCCGCTGCACTTTAATAATCACCATGTTCAGAGGAATTTGTCACACAACTCACCTTGTGGACAATGATTGGACTCCATAAATCCAAAACGAAGATAAATGTTGTTGTATTTTCGCCTCTTACCCACTGGTATAGAGGATCCGGTTGGCACAGACATATTGCATCACGTCACATCAAGCAAGCAATAGTATTCCTCTAAAGACTGTGTCGACCGTTATGCACGAAATCGGAGGGCAAGAAGACACTGCTCAACGTGGCGATTGTAACGGATTGTCCTACTGCACAACAAACGGTATCGTATTTGTGACCACTTTCTTTCGGCGCACTGCCTGTAAAGTCCAAAAGGAACTTTGATGTTTCTCCAACCTGGATTGCTTACATGAGGACACGGTATCTGTGTTCCCTAATTATCTTGCTCATTTCCACTGCTTTACTGTGTCCTACAAGCGGTTAACATATCGTATATTTATTCCTTTCACTCGATCACTGGCACATCCTTGACGTTTCAAGGTCATTCATATTACTATGTTACTGTGACACTGCCCAAATACTCGCTCCGCCCCACGCTGTACAGTTTCTGCCCACTTGCATTACGATTGCAAAACCTATTCGTAAGTCATGCACTGTATTTAATATGCCTTATAGAACCACGGTTACAGGATAATTCGTTTCATACTTCTGTATAGACCGTGCGTTAAGTCTAGGTTTATTTGTTCGTAGTTTCTAGTTTAGTTTTCGTACGACGTACTTAGTTTAGGCTTAGTATCGTTGGTACATAACTTGAATAGGGCAATCATGTCCGTTTCTGGTGATTCTCTTTATGATGTTAACGTTACTGATGCTGAGAAACTTCGAAGAGCTGAATCCCGTATTCGTCTGTTGGAGTCGGCTTTAACGAGCATGCGCATGTTGCAGGCGAAGACGCTTGATGTTAAGGACTACTTCGAACCTGAATTTGAGTCGGATGCGATTATTATTGAACGATCGCGATGTATTCCGGCCGACGATTGTGTGCTTCCGCCCGAAGTTGCAATCTGCTCGTCATTTTTGAAACCTGGGAATAGTGGTCCGGCTGTTCCGTCCGTAGCTCAGTTGGTTTGTCCGTCGGCATCCGTTGGTGCCGGCGTTCCATCCCAGTGGGGTCCTTTTGCTCCGGCCTTCAGGCTGACAGTAACCTGTGTCCGGAACGCAAATCCAGCGATTTTGGACCCAGCACGTCATCCTGTCTTCCAAAACATGAACTGTTAACATTCGATGGAGATCCTGTCCGCTATTGGATGCTTATGCGATGCTTCGAAGCCAATGTTTCCTGAACTACTTCCAATCCAACTATCAGGCTTTCATATCTGATACAGTACTGTTGTGGCGAAGCCAAAGAAGCTATCGAAGTTGCTTAATATTCGACGCTGGTGAAGACTTTGAAGAAGCAATGAACATTTTGCGCTGACGCTTCGGACGGCCCCACATGATTGCTAGGACTCACATTAATGCTCTAACTGATGGCCCTAACATCAGGCCCAATGATTTCGCGACTCTGTCTCGTTTAGCTGTGGAACTGCGTTCATGCTACTTGACGTTGAAACAATTGAGGTATGAATCCGATTGGAACGCGTCCAGAACAGTCAGCTCTATCATCAGGAGGCTGCCCAACCATCTGCAATTCAAGTGGGCCGAGCATGCCGCCAGAGTTATCTGCACCGAAAGGGAACCGAACTTCACTGACTTGACATATTTCGTGGATGAAACGGCAGACGTCGTCGATACTTACTTGTCCTTTGCCGCACGTCCCTGCGGACCACCGGCCATCACTGATAGAGGCAGAAGCTTAAACTCTCGGGGATATGCCGCTTGTCTAAACATTGCCGCTTCATCAGAACGAAATTTCCCTTAATGTCTTTCCTGTGAACAACGCCAATACTTAGATCAGTGCGATGATTTCCGAAATCTCTGCCTCAACAAACTTCTTGAATTCTGTCGCGCCCATAGACTGTGTCAGCTCTGTCTCAAACCGAATCATGACCTACCAAATTGTTGATCACAAAGGTGTTGTGGGTCTAACACTTGTAAGCTGCTGCACCACCCGCTACTCCACGTTGATCGAAGCAACTTCGGAACCCCAAACACTGAAGGATCCAGTTTTGCTCTCCGTCACATCGAACGCTCTGTTGTGTCGCTTGACTTGTTACCTGTGCTTGTTTCTGGGCCTGCTGGCACCATTCGAACATTTGCCTT